GTTAATTGTTCTCACTATTAGGACATTTTTCCTTAATTCCAGGTTGCTTCTCTCCTTGTTTAATTTCCATCCATTGTTTCTTGCCTTGTCTACTGGTGCTTTGGAAAATAGGTTGATAGGTTGACCCCCTCTTCTTTATGGCAGCCCCTCAAATATTGGAACACTGCTATCACGTGTCCCCTAGTCTTTCTTTTCACTAGACTAGACATACACAATTCCTGCAATCATTCTTTGTATATTTTAGTCTCCAATCTCCTAATCATCTTTGTCACTCTTCTCTGCACTCTTTCCAGAATCTCAACATCTTTTTTATGTTGCAGTGACCAAATGTGGTGACCTACATCATTTACAGGGATATATAGGGAATGGCCAAAGTATATGATTTGCTAGATTTTCTTACTCCCCACCTTTCCTCCAGTTGGTCAAAGTGGCTTACCTGTTGATCAATCTCCATTTTTAACCCCAGCAAATTTATAAGAAAGGTTAGGTTGACACTGAGTGACTGGCACATGATGAGTTTCAGTGGTTAAAGATGGATTTAAACCTGAATTTTCCCAGTCCTAATTCAACAGTTTAACTACTAGATTTTCTATCTACAAGGATTTCAAAACTGGCTCATGATATGGGAAAAAACCACAACAGCCGCAATAATAATAACTAATACCATAAATGAAGAAAATCTGTGTGGTCACTAGGAGTTAAAATGACTTGATGGCACATAATCAATCTAATATTGTAGATCTGTGGTCCCCAACCTTTGCGACTTGGCGGTCCAGCTGGGGGGGAGCTGGACCATGCAAGTGGCAGCTGGTGCGCACATGCACAGCTCCGCTCACACAAGAGAGAAACTTTTGGGGTGTTGCTTACACGAATGGCGCTGCACGTGTGCACCAGCCTGCCCTTCCCATGGCCTGATTCTGAATAGGCCACGGACCTGTAGTGGGGACCCTTGCTGTCGGATCAGTCTTCTCAAACTGAGGGCCACTTAGACATGTTAGAATATAATTCCTACCAGTTTTTATAGAATTGCAGAGAGATTGAGAAAATATAGGGTAAAAAAAAAAGTGTCTTGCTTCAGTAGGTGACGTTTTCTCCTCCTTTTTGCAAGTTGAGAAATATTCCTTATAACTGAATATTTAAAATGCTCGAGGGAAGAAGTAATGCAATTCTGTTTCCCCCACATATTTTTCTTGTAAACATTAAGACGATTTGCAGAATTGCCCTGATTTGCTTTTCACCATTTGCACATGAAATTGGTAATGCTTTAAAAAGTAGCATCTTTAGCTGTCTCTTGAATGCTGTATATAAAAGAGATAGTAGTGTGGTGCTCAGCAGGAGGTTCCTCCTGTGAGGATCATCAATGAATGGATTTTGGCAATGAGAACCAAGAGGAGGGAGGATCAGAAAGTTACTGAACAAACAATGCCAGCTCTTAAAAAAAATTTCTTGGAATAATTGAAATGAGTTGCTACCTAGGCTCTAAATTCATGGCTATTCACCAACCAGATTCAAAGCAGAACACTTGGAAAATAATGTGAAGAATCCCATGGCAGAGGAACATTATGCAAATTAGGTGGAGTAATCTGATGTTGATTTTGGCTTGTGGTGGAGGAAAGATTACTTGAAATCTTCCTGGCAGATTTTGAGAAGACCTCTTGGCTACCCAAGTGGGCAGTTGGTGGAAGAGATTGCAAAGAGTAGTCTGATGGATGGCACCGCTGTTCTAAATGTCACCAACCATAGATTTTTATTGTTATTTTGAGGAGGGTATGATTAGAATTATGTTTCAATGCTGCAGTGACTTTGAACCTTGACAGTTCCATAAAAGATGCTGAGAGAAGCTACTTAGCATGGGGAACAGGATATCAGCCTCTCTTGTGTGAGCTAATTCAATCTGGTAAACCTAGTTCTAAGTAATCAGATTTCATCAATCCACCATGCTCACTCCTGGAACCCTGAGATTTAATCACAGAAGCATGTCTTGGTTGGTTACCCCGAAACCAGATGTAACAAGCTGGGCTGTGAAAAATCAAGTGATTTTGCTCTCTCTCTTTGTCTCTCTCTCCCCGTCTATTACTCTCTGATGGCCTTGTGTTTCGGGAACTTAGGACCTATTAACAGGAAGTTTCCTGTTCTTCTTTCTCTTTTGTTTTTAAAATAATTTTTATTAGAAGCTTTTAACAGAACAAACACACAGATTTTGGATTGAAAAGAAGAGGAATATGGAAGAGTCACAAGAAAGCAAAAAAGAAATACTGGTAGAAAAGAAAGGGAAAAAGCAATAAAGAAGTGCTTTCTGTTCTTCTTTACATTTATAAATATACATTTATAAATAAATATATCCATCATAATTCTCCGTTCTTTGTCTTCCATGATTGGCTGCTTCTTCTGAAGCCTTTATTCAAATGGCATTTGCTTTATACTTTTTAAAATTAAACTGTTCTGTTATACTAGGTCTGTTCCGTTTGTTTTATGAATGAGAAGATAGGGCCAGTTAACTAAATAACTAGCTAAATGAATAAATAAAGCCATTTCTCCCTCCATTCAATTGTTGACTGCAAGCACACTCCACCCATTGCATGTCACTGCTGCAATTTTTAATTACTGAACCTCCATTTATTTGATTATCTCCAGACTGGATTACACCCAAACAGGAACAGCAGCAGATGCAAATCTTGCTTCAAGACTTAAGCAGAGATTAAATTGGAAAGCAGCATTAGTGGTCATACCTTTCTAAGCAGCAATTAAGAATTAACACTCCCCCCCCCCCCACTCTCTTTGTGAGATTTTCCCAGAGCTGCCTTCATGAAAGCGCTAATGCCTAAGGGTTCAGGCAGCCTTGGGTGAGAGAGGATAATTTTGTGACTGAGACATCCGACTGGAGCCTAAGACAGCTTTTTATCTCTGTCTGTCTCTGGCAGTGCTGTTTTGGATGATTTATGCTGAATTGTGCTGATGGATTTCTTCATAGCAACCATTAATTACCTGCTTTATTTCCTTTCTTCTTTGTGTCCCAACTGCTATATTTTTAAGGCAGTTCTATGTCCAAGCTAGCTAGTTAGCATTTCCCTCTTCTCCCCCGCTCTCTCCCTCTCCCTTTCTCTCTCTCTCCCCTCACCCTCTCCTTTTCCCCCTCTCCCTTTCCCTCCCTCTCCCCCTTTCCCTCTCCTTTCCACCTCTCCCTCTCTTTTCCCCTCTTCTTTTCCTTTCCCCTTCTCCCTCTTCTTTTTCCCCACTCTCTCCCTTTCCCTCCCTCCCTTTCCTTCTCTCCCTCTTCTTTTTCCCCTCTCTCTCTCCTCTCTCTCTCTCTCTCCCTCTCCTCTCCCTTTCCCTTTCCCTCTCCTCTCTTCATTCCTTTCCTATCCTTTCTTCCCATCCCATCATCTGATTTCCTTCTGTGCTGCTTCATTCCAAAAGGAGACCAAACAATTCAAGTTGACATTTTTGACTTTTTTGACTAAAAACCAACCATTTGAAGTCACGATTGTAACCTTTTGGCCCACAAAGGATAATCAAACGTCAAACAAAACTCCACAAGGGATTCATTACTCATAGTAGTTCTACTCTCATGGTTTTCTTCAGAAACCAAGTTTGAGTGCCTTTCCTAAAACAAAATCTTAACATCTTTTATATTTACAGTGTGGCTATTCAGGAAAACTGTTGGAAACTGATTGGACTAGTTGCAAGCTACTTTCCCAAGGAATATCATAGAAACTGTAATTGTCAAATTTCTACAGCTAATATTTGACTTTGATCAGTTGCTTGATGACCACTCAAAATTAAGCCCTGTCCTCAGATTATAACTACTGCATCATTCCTATGGTCACATGATCAAATTTTGATCACTTGGCAAGTGGCTTGCATTTATGGGCAGTTGCAGAGTCCTGAAGTCACACGATTGCATTTTTTAAAAAAATTTGATTTATATGCCGCCCTTCTCCGGAGACTCAGGGCGGCTTAAAATGCGCTAAGCAATAGCCTTCATCCTTTTGTATATTTATACAAAGTCAGCTTATTGCCCCCACAACTGGGTCCTCAATTTACCTACCTTAGAAAGGATGGAAGGCTGAGTCAGCCTTGAGCCTGGCGAGATTTGAACCTGCAGTAATTGCAGGCAGCTGGTCTTAATAACAGGGTGCTTTAGACTACTGTACTACCAAGGCTCCTATCACTGTAATTGTTACATTAGTAACCCGGTTCTTAAGCGAGGCAAGGCAGTTCCAAGTTAGTTGGTTTCCATGCATTTGTTGGGTAGTATTCTCATTTTCTTAATAATATGCCATATTTTTCGGACTATAAGAAATACTGATATATAAGACGCACCAAGATTTCAAAGAGGTAAGCAAGAAAAAAAAGTTTTTTCCCTCCCCAGCCCGCAGGAGCACTGTGCAGGCCTCCCAAAGCTTCTGTGCGCCCTGTTTTTGCAAAAATTGGGTGCGTTTTTTGCAAAAATGGGACGCGTGGGGTGGGGCATTGGGAGGCCAAAGATGGCTGTATTCGGTATATAAGACGCACCAACATTTCCACCCTCTTTTAGGGGAGGAAAAGTGTGTCTTATACTCCGAAAAGTACGGTAACTTCTTCTATTCTTGTTTTCCCACCTCCATCATTCATAATATATAGAATGAAAAGTTAATCATCTGTTTATTTGGCCAGACTAGTATGTCCTCATTACAGTAAGCAGAAGAGTGTTTTAACCTCCCACTGATGTATTCCTGATATTTATCTGTCATAATGGTATGATGCGTGTCTAATCTTCAGACAGCTTGTATTGGTGTAGGCCAGGGGTGGACAAATGTGGCTCTTTTACAACCTGTGGACTTCAACTCCCAGAATTCCTGAGACAGCTGTAAAAGGGCCACAGCTGTCTCAGGAATTCTGGGAGTTGAAGTCCACAGGTTGTAAAAGGGCCATATTTGCCCACCCCTGGTGTAGGCTAATACATTTCATTTCAGGAATATTTGATGCTTTCCAGGGACAGTTTGCCCAAGCTCCTGACATTAGTTTTTTACTATCAAATATTTGCATTTCTAACCTTAGCAACTTGAAGACAAATGGACTTTCAATGCCCAGAATTCCCCAGCCAGCGTTTTTCTATAGCAATAGTTTTTGAACTAGCTTGGCTAGCACAGGAGTAAACTTTGGGTTTTGTATCTGTTGCTGCTGTTGCTTATTTGCTGCAGTCTTTTCTGTTGGGGGATGCTGTAGTACTAGTTTGCTGCCTGTGCTATTAAGTTCAGAAATACTCCATAACAAGTAAATCCTTGGTATGCATCCTTTAAAATTAATGGGGTTAAGATTTTAATTTGGCTAACATTGTTTAAACGGGGAAGAAGGCTTTATTTTTATTTCTTTTACTGTTGAAGGACCTAAAAAGCCAGGTTGGGGAACAGATCATCCCAGCAAAGATCTACCTGGTAGTTCTTGACTTTTGACCTGTGGCTTAGTGACTGTTCAAAGTTATGACTTTGAAAGGGGAACATAGATCCGAATTCATGCCCCCCCCCATCCCCATAGTCATGTGATCATATTTCAGGAACTCGGCAACAAGACCACATTGATGGACATTTGCAGCATCCTGCAGTCACATGACTGCAATTTATGCCAGTTTTGCCCCAAAATGGCACTTCTGGTTTTCAGCAAAACCATGCCTGAGTGAACAATGGGTTTGATTAATGACTGCCGTGTTTGCTTAATGACGCTGCAGGAAAAAAGACATAAAAATGATTTTACAACCATTATGACTTACAACTGTAATGGGCAAGCTCCAATATGGTCATAACTCAAGGACTACCTGATTCTGTGTGACCAACTTAACAGTACGTAACCAGTTTCTGATTCTAGTTCTTTGACTGCCCCCCTATATACAACATACTTGAATGCAGTTAGCCATGTGACATTCTGTGTATTATGATAATGGAACTGAAACAACCCTTCTCCACTCTAGATATTTCTATTTGGTTTGTCCACGTCTTTTTATCTTTGGGTGCTGACATAATTGGTTGCATGATTAGTTCTAGGACAAAGCCTAGCTTTGAGTTTCAGGATAGCATTCAGAAATACTGGACACCTGCATGTGCTACTCTCTATTCTTACAATAGGGAGAGAAGATATCTGAGAGAAGAACACATTGGTCCATTAAGGAAACCATTCTCTCCAATGTTGCATGGAGCTATCAATCTAGGACAGCAATCAATCAGAATAGAGCTGGAAAGGACCTCGGAAGTCTTCTAGTCCAACCCCCTGCTGAAGCAGGAGACCCTATACCAGTGATAGCTAACCTTTTTGCCATTGTCAAAAGTGGGGGGAGTGTGACGGGGTCACGCGCGTGTCTGCCCACACCCATAATTTTATGCACCCCGCGCATGCGTGTGCGACCCCCCCCCATGCTCCCCGTTTTTGGCCTGCGATGGCAAAGTAGGCCCAGTAGGCCTGTTTTTCACAGGCCTATTAGATTATTATTTTCCAAAGCACCAGAAGGCAGAACAAGAAACAATGGATGGAAACTAATAAAGGAGAGAAACAACCTAGAACTAAGGAGAAATTCTGTAGGATGATGACATAGTAAATATTTCTCTGTCTAGTTCAGAGCCAGTAATGCTCAGGAACAGTTGTTTCCCAACGATGAAATGTCATGGAATGACTCCTTGGCTGCGTGCTTCCAAATTATACAGTCTGCCTTCAATTTTCTACAGTTGCAGCATGGCTAGAACAATTCTTACAACATACACAGAGCTGATAACTTCTCAATTTATTAAATCCATTCGATTGCATAAAAGATAGCATCACAGCTTGATGGCAACCCCTAACAAGCCTCGGTGGATTAGGAAAGCTAAGCAAAGTCAGACTTGAGTCTTACTTGGCTTGGAGATCCCAGAAATTACCAGATTTGTAGGCTAGACTGAGAAGTTGAAAAGAGCACCTTAGAAGAAAGAAACGGCTATCCTCTTTTGTATACTTGCCAAGAAAACAACATGAATAAATCCAAGAAGTCAACCTGAAGTTGAGTTAACATCAAAGCAGACTTTATTTTTGAATTGATCAAAACTTACATTTATAGGTGATCTGAGTGAACTTAACTCTCTGCCATGGGCAGTGTACATAACAATATTTGCTGACACTTCCTGTTATTCTTGGCTGCCTAAGATAAACTGGTACAAAGTTTATCTAATGTTGCATTTTTTTAACATAAACCAAGCTTGGCAACCAGGCCTGAAGAGTCTTCATAGATTAAGCAATCTTTTGTGAGCACACAGTCATAATTAACTAGCAAATGCAAACCATTCAAAGTACTTCATTTAAAAACTTGGTGGAGCAGAGGAACAAGATTTAAAACTTTTGTTGTATGATAGTCTTTGCAAGCCTCAACTGAGTTCATTATGTTTCTCAGTTGCATCTGCCAACCTGGAACATCAAAGCAGAATAGGCAGTCTAAAGGCTAAGTGGATTTAAGCACCTGAATAAACAGCAGTTTCTATTTCTATTCAGATTGTGGAAAAGCCCTAGAGGCGGAAACCTAGAGAACATTAGGAAAGGGATAGAGAGTTAGGCACAAGAAAGAAATTAGTTAAGCTGAAATGGAAGCCTTCCCAAAGAAGGAATTCATTCATTCATTCATACATTCATTCAATTTATATGCCGCCCCTCTCCGAAGACCCAGGGCAGCTCACAATACACTCAAAAAATCACTATAAAAACATTTAAAAATTAAAAACATTAAAAACTCATTCACGCCATTCATGGCCGGATCTCGTCAGATCGCAAAGCGAGATCAACGGCCCCAGGCCTGCCGGAAAAGCCAGGTTTTCACCGCTTTTCGGTAGGCCAATAGGGTGGGGATGGTCCGGACCTCAGGAGGTAGCTGGTTCCAGAGAGCTGGGGCAGCCACAGAGAAGGCCCTCCCTGGGGGGAATGAAATTTGGGGTTAGGGATTTTTATCTGTTAGACTTCGAATTTTTCTGGGCATATGGGTAGTCTGCCACTTATGATGGTTTCAGCATAAAATCATCATTGGGACCAGAATTTCTGTTGCTAAGCAAGGCGGTTGTTAAGTGAGTTGCATCTGATTTTATGAACTTTTTTTCCCACGGTTGTTAAGTGAATCTCTGCAGTTAAGTGAATCAAGCAGTCCTTAAGCAAACCTGACTTTCCTTGTCAGAAGCCAGCTGGGAAGGTTGCAAATGGCAGTCCCGTGACTCTAGGACACTGCAACCGTTATAAATGCTGGTTGCCAAGCGCCGGAATTTGGATCACATGACTGATGGCTATAAGCACCAGGACCAGTTATAAGTCACTATTTTCACTGCTGTTGTAACTTTGGACGGTTGTAAAGTGAAAGCTACCTATCTCTTAATAGAGTTGCCCATGTGCTCGTGGCTCTGAGAGAAGCCACGACTTGCTAATTGTATTTTTTAATAATCGGGCAAGAAACTGGGTTTACTAATGGAGGGCGTGAAACATAGTTTAAATCAGTGGGTTGCACACAGCCTTGGATGGCTAGTAATGTGGCCCCACAAGATGGTAAACATTTAACATTATTATGTGATTCATATACATTAACTATATTATATATTTTATGTGCAGCCCAAGACAATTCCTCTTCATTCAGTGCGGCCCAGACAAGCCAAAAGGTTGGTCACCCATAGTCCAAATACAGGTAGTCCTCAATTTACAACTGTTCATTTAGCGACTGTTTGAAGTTACAACTGCACTGGAAAAAAGCAGCATATATCCGTTTTTCACACTTATGACCATTGCAGCATCCTCGTGGTCACATGATCAAAGTCAGGTGCTTGGTAACTGGCTCATATTTATGACCGTTGCAGAGTCCCGGGATCACTTAATCCCCTTTTGCGACCTTCTAACTAGCAAAGTCAATGGGGAAGTCGGATTCACTTAACAACCGTGTTACTAACTTAACTGCAGGGATTCACTTCAGAAAGGTGGTAAAATGGGGCAAAACTCACTTAAGAACATCCTTGGCTAGCAATGGAAATTTTGGGCTCAGTTGTCAGTTGGTCGTAAGTCAAGGACTATTTAAGTGACTTTCTCCACATCTTTGCATGACTTCATCCTGCATTATCATCTACAAGTAGGAAACACCAAGCCGCCGTTGAAGTAGGTATATCTATATAGAGTACTGCATCCTTATTCTTTTGTGGGTGTTTGTTCTCTCCAAATATCATTTGCTTTCTAGTGGACTTTGATATTAGCAGTTTCATTGATCAAAGGCATTTTATTGTAATTTGAGTAGCCAGCAACTGAAGGTTTGGAGTGGGATACAGATCTCAACATGATTGGTTTGGTTTGTTAAGGGAGGATTATGTTTGAATTCTTAAAAATACATTTAAATGGTATTTTACGACTTGGGTTGGAGGTTTAAAGTATGTGCAGTTTTTATTAGACTTTGATTTTCTTTGGGTAGGTCTTCCCCCATCTCTAGGAAGGAGCCCAACTGCCAATTTTGCTATAAACAGATATTTCTGGCTATCCTGTAATCTGATTTTCATTGTTTGGGCTACTTTAAAGCATGCTTTCTGGAGAATTGGCCTGCTTGGACTTTGCTTCTTGACAGACGAAAGATCAAATGCCAGTGTGTGTGTGTGGCATAAATTTCTTAATCTTCGGCTGTGTTTTTCCATATTTCAGTCCAATCTGTTAAGGAGTTGCATCATTGCCCTTTAATTTATTTATCCATAAATCCGCCCAATTCTTTAACTACTCTGATTAGCAGTTTTTCCATTTGCTGAGTTAACTGGTGAAGCACAGCTACCACAAATGTCGGCTTGCTTCCAGTCAAGGAGGTTAAGCCTTCTTCAGATGGCAACGTCTGATATATTCTTGGGGATATGACAGCTATAATACAGGTAGTCCTCAAATTACAAGCAAAATTGAGTCCAAAATTTATGTTGCTAAGTGAGAAAGCTGTTCAGTGAGCTTTGCCCCATTTTGAAACCTTCCTTAGCACAGTTGTTAAGTGAATCACTGCAGTTATTAAGTTAGTAACATGGTTGAGTGAATCTGGCTTCCCCATTGACTGTCAGAATGTCGCAGACATGGTCATATAACCCTAGGAAATGCAACTGTCATAAATATGAATCAGATGCCAAGCATCTGAATTTTGATCATGTGGCCATTGGGATGTTGCAATGGTCGTAAGTGTGAAAAACAGCCATAAGTCACTTTTTCTGGTGTCATTGTAACTTTGAATTTATTTATTTATTTATTGATTTGATTTGATTTCTATACCGCCCTACTCCTGAAGGACTCAGGGCGGTGCACAGCCAAACAATAAAATACATACATACAAAATTTAAAAGTAGAATTAAAATCAAATTAAATAGTTTTGGCCCAGACAAATTAAAACCCCAAACAATTTAAAACCAATTTTAAAATTTGAATATATAAAATACTAAAAGATATTAAAAATTAAAAATCTTTTATAAAAGAGGGAGAAAATTAGGCCAGGCCCGCCTGGTGAAATAATAAGGTCTTTAGAGCGCGGCGGAAGGTGCGCAGATCCGGGATCCTCCGTATCTCCGGGGGGAGCTCGTTCCAGATAGTAGGTGCCCCCACAGAGAAGGCTCTCCCCCTGGGGGCCGCCAGTTGGCATTGTTTGGCCGACGGCACCCGGAGGAGCCCCTCTCTATGGGAGCATACCGGCCGGTGGGAGGCTATTGGTGGTAGTAGGCGGTCCCGCAAGTACCCAGGTCCTGAGCCATGGAGCGCTTTAAAGGTGGTAAACCAAAACCTTGAAGCGCACCCGGAAGACCACCGGGAGTCAGTGCAGCTCGTGCAGGAGGGGTGTTACATGGGAATGGCCACTAAATGAACTGTTGTAACTCAAGGACTACTTGTACTTGCATTTCGTTGCCTTTTAAAATAATGTAGTATTCTGTAAAAGTAAATTCATGGTGCAGAAAGATGATACTCACAGTGATATTAGCTCTGTAGAAGAGGTGGTGTATTATGTGATTGTGATGGGAACTTCAGAAAGCCATCCTGAGTTAAGGGTTCACTCACTCCCCTAATCTTCTGAAAGCTCATAAAAACTTGTCTGTTCCAGAAATCCTTTGGAACCTAAGCACTCTAAATCCATGCCTCTCAACACTGCTTAAAGTAGCCTCCCCTGAAGCAGTTTATAAATTCATAAATAAACTTTTAAGTTTAGTTTAGCCAATAAATGTTTCCAAGACAAAAATATACTTAATGAACTTGTTAATCTCTTTCCTGTTTGCTTTCTGCTTTAAGGTAGCAGCACTGAAGCATCCATTCTTTTAAAAGAAACTTTAAGAGTCCATCCTCCCCTGTTGTGTGATATAACGTAATGTCATAACAGAATCCAGGTCTGAAGAGGCAAAACTAAAGAATAAAAGATAAAAATTATTTAATTATTTTAATTAAATTTATTTAATTATTTTAATATTTTAAAAAAAGTAATTAAAGGGAAATAGTGTAGCATTTTCCAAAGGTTTTTATCCAGAGAGGACTCGTTGCTACGAATAACACAGGATTCTGCAAATATTGCCTATGGCCGTGATGGCGAACCTATGGCACGCGTGCCAGAGGTGGCACGCAGACCCCTCTCTGTGGGCACGCGCACCATCAACAACTGCTCTTCTGCTTTCTCATGCGGACATGTGCACTGGCCAGTTGGTCTTTGCAGGCGCCAGAGCACTGGAAAACGGCCTGAAAATGGCCCCCAAAATATCCAAAAAACAGGCTGTTTTCCGGGCCATTTTCAGGCCATTTTTCGGGCTGTTTTTGGCGTACCAGCCAGCTGGTCTTCCGGTTTCCAGCGCTCCAGCACGCACACATGCATGCATGTTCTGGTTTGGGCACTCGGTGCCAAAAAGGTTCGCCATCACTGGCCTATGGCATTGGTTTCCAAATAGTATCTCAACAATTGCTGGGATTCTAGAAAATTTAGCAGCAACTCCCTTCCTCCCTCCCCTCCCCTCCCCTCCCCCTTCCCTTTCCTTCCCTTCCTTTTTTCCTATGCTTTACAATATTTACTCTTCAGAATGCATTAAAATGTATTTTCAATTCACACAGAATTAGCTGGCCTGTCATTCTTCTATCACTTGAAATGTGCCATGCAACATTTCCTAGAATTTTTTACAGCACAAAAGGTATTCTTGGCAGATGAATAAGAGAGAACAGAGTCTACTTTTTGAGTTGCATTGGTTATCCTTAGTATTAAGAAAGTTGATCAAAGACCGAGGTTTTATTTGGAGTTTCATAATATCGTAATCACCGTGTTTATTATGTTGATAAATGGCCATAGTCTCTTTGCCTCTTTGCATTATCTTCTGATTTTCAAACGATTTTGTTATCCTTCATAATTGACAAACATTGATACTGATTTAGACTCCAGTTAAATCAATATAGCCATATAACATTCTCTATTTATGGACATGTACAGTCAGCTAAGGACTAGGAAACAACTAGCGATTTAGTAAGGAAGCATGATTTCCCAATTCCTTATGCCGAACCATAAGTGGTACCTGCCAATCACTTCAGCAAAATAGCTACTGTATTCTTATGTCATTGACCATTAAGGCAAAGAATCTCTTAATCTGACCTTTAGAAATACGATTTAAATACTTCACATGCTGCTATTAATACAGATCTTTTTGACTCACAACAGAAAAGCATGAATAGAAGGTCAGCATTTGTAGGATTGAAGTTTGTTTTATATACATGATGATTAAGTCCATTCCATTTACAAATTTATTATTATTAATTTTTTTAAAATTCTGGTAATGCCTGCTAAGAAATCAAGTGAAAATAACCATGAACCTTCAGCAGAGCAGGACACCTTGCTTAGAAACAGGAGTCCCCAACCCCCAGCCCGTGGACCGGCAGTGGTCCGCAGCATGTCAGAAACCAGGCCGTGCAAACAAGCGAAGCCCCATCCCTGGGTTGCAGGCAGAAGGTGAAACCACACTTCCTCTCCATGGAACTCTCTCCTGCGCGAGCTGCACTGGCTCCCGGTGGTCTTCCGGGTGCGCTTCAAGGTTTTGGTTACCACCTTTAGAGCGCTCCATGGCTTAGGACCTGGCTACTTACGGGACCGCCTACTACCACAAACAGCCTCCCACCGGCCGGTACGCTCTCATAGAGAGGGGCTCCTCCAGGTGCCGTCAGCCAAACAATGTCGACTGGTGGCCCCTAGGGGGAGGGCCTTCTCTGTGGGGGCACCTGCTATCTGGAACGAGCTCCCCCCGGAGATACGGAGGATCCCGGATCTGCGCACCTTCCGCCGTGCTTTGAAGACACTCCTATTCCAGCAGGCCGGCCTGGCCTAATTTTTCCCCTTCTTTTAAATTTTTAAACTGAAATTTTAATTCGTTTTAAATTATTGGGAGTTTTAAATTGTCTCGGGCAAAAATTATTTAATTGGGTTTTAATCATGTTTTAACTTTTGTATTTATGTGTTTTATTTTGTGCCTGTTCACCGCCCTGAGTCCTTCGGGAGTAGGGCGGTATACAAATTTAATAAAATGAAATGAAAAAAATGAAAATGAAATGAACTGGTCCTTTGTGCCCAAAAGGTTGAGGGCCACTGATTTAGGACACAGCATTAAATGTGCTCAAGCATAGATATTTTCCAAGGGTTTCACATGAAGCAGGAAGATTGATTTCATAGCATAAATGGACTGTCCTGAATTCCTTTTTTCTTAAAAGGAATATTTTCCATATTCAGCTTCATTTTGCAAAAACCAGAAATCATCTTGGAACTAGAGGTAGAAGATGCTACTCATATGGAAGAAGGGTTGGTGACAGATTTTGCTGAAATAGATACTGAATTTTTTGATTAGAGAAAAGTTATCTACTGTACATTTATGTCCGGCGCAAAGAGTCAGAGCCATAGGTTAAGTTGTATTTCAAAAGATTTATTGGTCAAGCCTGTACACAGGAATCTGGTCAACTAAAGTTCAGTACTAAATTGGCACCACATAAGGATCAACAGAATTCAAGAGGACTAGAACAGTTGACAACGAAAGGACTCTATAGACCAGTGATGGCTAACCTTTTTGCCATTGTGTGCCAGGAGGGGCGGGTGGGGAAGGGTTGCGCGCGCACGTGCCCACGCGCATGTGTGCGCAACCCCCTCGCCCCCCCGCTCCTGGCACATGATGGCCTGGTAGGCCCGTTTTTCTTTCTTACCTGGTTCCAGATCCTCTCTGTGTATCTAGGGAGGGAGAAAACAGCCTTTCCCACTCCCTTGGAGGCCCTACAGAGGCTGAAAGGCCCATTTCCCAACTCTCCGGTGGGACAGGAAGTGACATTTTTTGCTGTCCCTAGCCTCCAGAACCTCTCTAGGAGTCTCTAGGAGCCTCTCTAGGAGTCTCTGGAGGCTGGGGACAGGAAAAAACGTCACTTCCTGTCCCACCGGAAGTGGGGAAATGGGCCCTTTGAGCCTCCGTAGGGCCTCCAAGGGAGTGGGAAAGGCTGTTTTCGCCGTTCCCAGATACACAGAGAGGATCTGGAGCCAGGTAAGAAAGAAAAACGGGCCTTCCCCACCCCCCATCCCCAGGCCCTCCAGAGGCAGGAAACAGCCTGTTTCCCTACTTCTGGTGGGCCCAGAAGGCCCGAAAATCAGCTGGCTGGCACGCGCATGTGCCCCAGAGCTGAGCTGGCGTGCCCACTGATATGGCTCCGCGTGCCACCTGTGGCACGGGTGCCATAGATTCGCCATCACAGCTATAGACCAAGGGTGCCAAACTTGCCACGTCACATTGTTGTCACGTGATGTTTCACAACATTTTTCCCTTTGCGGAGCTGGGATGGGCATGTTCTGTGTGTGACTCTTCCGGCCCATGGGCTGCCAGTTTGAAACACCTGCTGAAGACTGATGATTTGTTTAACTCTTCTCCCCTTCCCCACCCCACCCCCCAGCTCTGCCTTCCTTTCTATAATTTATTGGTGACTGGAAGCTTCTTTTGGACATTTTACATAAAAATGAAAACAATGAACGTGATTTATGGATTTGATGATTAGACAGGATAGATTATAGAAAGAAGGATAAAATGATATAACTTTAGAGAGGGAGAGAGAATACTGTAGATACTGTATTTCTACTTATAACTGTTGTGAAGAATATCGTAAGCTTTATATCTTTTTTCTTTTTCTTGCGCTGTTTGCTTTTTCTTTTAGTCTCTTCTTTTCCTTCTGTCTTCTTTATGTTAAGTTGTTAATTTTTATCTTCTTGTTTAAAAGTATTAATGACAATTATATAACAAAAGAACTAATCTTTTGGTACTAAGCTCAGCTTAGAACTTGGAAGGAGAATGGACGTGTTTTATTGTAACCTGTGATTCTTCAAATGAAGCTTGGAAACTATGATGAAGTCATAGGCATAAACCAGTATTTGATAGCTTGATGCAAGCTTTGGATTTTTCAAAATTCAGCTTGGAGGTGAACGCCATTCTCATCTCAGAAAGAGGGTTTTTTTAATTAAGGAGATTAAAAACCGTACCTTGGAAGGAGTCCACCTGTAGCATTTATGCACGAGATGGGTTCCTGGTCATGTCTCCCTTGAGGACTGGCAAGCCTTCTCTCTTGTTTAATTGGCTATACAGATTAAAAAGTACCTGTGATAACAGAAACACCTAACCTTTTTGTGCTGCTAAGCCTAATTACTTCTAAATGCCATAGTCACAAATACCACCTGTCTCTACTACTTCTTCATCTGTGTTATCCTCATATAGTGCAATTCATTTATAGCCATGACATAACACCATTTTTGTAAAGTGCAGTGCTTATGGATGGCATTCTTAAGAGTGATCAAGTTTATTTATTACTAGCAGTTCTCTCACAGCAGGAACCTTGAAAATTAGCAGCTTAAACATATTAAATTACCCTATAATTATCTACAGTAGTTTCTCCGTGTGGAAATTTACTGTTTGTGGCCTTTTTTTCTTTCATCTTCTCTCAGCAGAAGCTGATCAAGATACGTCTGCTTGTTTGCTGCTAATTGATCTTGCTATATCTGTTCTGTGACTAGAGGGTCAGTTATATATTGTTCTGCCTGTCTAGTATAGAGTGACAAAAATGGTAACCAATGGAACGGCTTGCCCTCAGAAGTTGTGGGTGGTTCATCACTGGAGGCTTTTAAGAAGAGACTGGACAGCCACTTGTATGAAATAGTATAGGGCAGTGATGGCTAACCTTTTTGCCATTGCGTGCCAGGAGGGGGGGCGGGGGAGGGTCGCCCGCGCACGTGCCCACGCGCATGTGTGCGCAACCCCCTCGCCCCTCGCCCCCCCTGCTTCTGGCACATGATGGCCTGGTAGGCCCGTTTTTCTTTCTTACCTGGTTCCAGATCCTCTCTGTGTATCTGGAAAGGGAGAAAACAGCCTTTCCCACTCCCTTGGAGGCCCTACGGAGGCTGAAAGGGCCCATTTCCCAACTCTCGGTGGAACAGGAAGTGACATTTTTTGCTGTCCCCAGCCTCCAGAACCTCTCTAGGAGTCTCTAGGAGCCTCTCTAGGAGTCTCTAGGAGCCTCTCTAGGAGTCTCTGGAGGCTGGGGACAGGAAAAAAGTCACTTCGTGTCCCACCGGGAGTGGGGAAATGGGCCCTTTGAGCCTCCGTAGGGCCTCCAAGGGAGTGGGAAAGGCTGTTTTTGCCATTCCCAGATACACAGAGAGGATCTGGAGCCAGGTAAGAAAGAAAAACGGGCCTTCCCCACCCCCACCCCCAGGCCCTCCAGAGGCAGGAAACAGCCTGTTTCCCTACTTCTGGTGGGCCCAGAAGGCCCGAAAATCAGCTGGCCGGCGCGCGCATGCGCCCCAGAGTTGAGCTGGCGTGCCCACTAATATGGCTCCGCGTGCCACAGGTTCGCCATCACGGGTATAGGGTCTCCTGCTTGAGCAAGGAGTTAGATTAGAAGACCTTCAAAGTCCCTTCCAACTTCTGTATTTTGTATGATACCTTATAAAATCAAATAGAACTGGGTGTGCATAGCCCTAGAGATTTGAGGTTTTAACTATTTATTAGGTTTTTTTTCTATCCTGCCTTTATTCTTTACAAGTAACTCAAGGCAGCAAACATACACAATACTTCCTTCTCCTCCTATTTCCCCCACAACGACAACTTGTGAAGTGGGCTGGGCTGAGAGACTGACCAGCCCAAGGTCATAAATTGGCTTTCATGCCTTAGGCGGGACTAGAACTCAGAGTCACCTGGAGATAGGACAATAGTTATCCACCCGGCTTTCATGCCTAAAGTGGGACCAGAACTCACTTTCCTGATGATTGGTCGAGAATCACCCAGCCAGCTTTCATATCTAAGGTGGGATTAGAATTCACCATTTCCTGGTGATTGGCCCAAAGTTAGCTAGCTGGCTTTCATACTCAAGGCAGGACTAGAATTTACCATATCCTGGTTTCTCGCCTGATGCCTTAACCACTAGACCAAACTAAAGTTCCAATCACTCTCTGTTGACATCCAACCTTTTTGTGAAAACCAATCAAATAATTCAATGTTATAGTATTTTAATCTATGCCTAATATTGCGGGGGTTTTGCATGAGAAAGAGTGTCTCCTCCTGTTTATGGCCTTGTTCACAATATCTGGTTGGCCATTTGGGAAACAGAGAGCTGAACTTCTTAGTAGGCCTTTGGTGTGATCTGGGAAGCTTTGTGCATTTTTATGCTAACAGCCATCTGCTCAGTATGACTACAAATAATAATATGTGGGACACCCTGTTCCACATTCATTAAAAAAAAAAAAAAAGGAAAGTGAACTGTATGAATGGTAGAAGGAAAATGCTAATATTTATCCCAACTCAAACCATTGCCCCTTGAAAAGCTTAGTTTCAGCTTCTCTTAATTGAAGCCAAACTGTAAATAGGACAGAAATAGAAAATTATTAAAAATATGGGAATGATGTAATCAATGTCCTTAGATTGAAATTAATTGGAATCAAATATAATTTTGGTTTTGTCTTTGACCCTAAGAGCAGTGGGCTCCTTTTACACTAATCAAATAAATATTTTTGCCCAAAACTGGTTATGAAACATTCCCCGTTCATTTGTTATGAATAATGCTGAATATTCAACAGTGCTGAAATAGCATCATTTACGTACAATTGGGTAAAACATATTCTCCTGGTAAAACTTGTATGCAGCTGATGGTGTTCTGTGAGCTTGCTTCTCTTCCTGCAGACAGGCTTCTTAACATCAGCCCAGAAGGGAGTAGAGCATACAGGATGCTTTTTTTTTTTTTTTTAATTTGATTTATATGCCGCCCTTCTCCGGAGACTCAGGGCGGCTTATAATACGCTAAGCAATAGCCTTCATACTTTTGTATATTTATACAAAGTCAGCTTATTGCCCCCACAAACTGGGTCCTCAATTTACCCACCTTTGAAAGGATGGAAGGCTGAGTCAACCTTGAGCCTTGGCGAGATTCGAACCTGCAGTAATTGCAGGCATCTGGTCTTAATAACCAGCTTACTAACAGATTGCCTTAGACCACTGTACTACCAAGGCTCTGTACTAACAAGGCTTGCTTGCTTGTTTGTTTATATCCTGCCTTTATTATTTTTACAAATAACTCAAGATGGCAAACATACTCAACGCATCTTCCTCTTTCTGTTTTTTCCACAACAACAACAACCTTGTGAGGTGGTTTGAGCTGAGAGACTGGCCCAAGATCATCCAATTGGCTTTCATGGCTAGGATGGCACTAGAAGTCTCGGTCTCCCATTTTCTAGCCTGGTGCTTGAACCATTAGACAAAACTGGCTTTCCATATATGCTCTGTCTACTAAGCCATTCAATAAAGAAGGCAACCAAAGGCAAGGAAAACAGGAAAATAGGTCTAAAAATATCTACGTATTCTCCACACGCCCCTATTAACCAACCCAGAGAAGCAGGAATCATCTCCAGATTAGCAAGAAAATCACAAAAGAAAGACTACAGTGCCCAAAAAGCAATCTGAAAAGAAACAATACTCCAATAAAGCTAGTAAGACAAATTATATATAAACAGCCAATAAATCCCACTCCTACCTTCCCCAGTGATGTTACTTAGTATGGTAATGAAATGTCTTCAGGAAGGCTAGCAAACTTAGAAAGCACCGAGACCAATATTCTAAAGAGTTTAGAAAAGGGTGCATGAAGCCAACATTAGAGATGTTTTGGTAATGGGAGAAACACCATTTAACAGGCACAGTTTGGCTCCCTGGGATGGGTAGCACCCTGGTCATACTTCTTTTTCTCTCTCATTTCACAGCCCGCTCTTCGTAACGTGGAAGATTGGTCGAGATAAAAGGTTACGTGGATGTATAGGTACCTTTTCTGCCATGAACCTGCATTCAGGACTCAGGGAGTACACACTTACTAGGTAAGACTTGGTGGTGGTTCTCTTCACTTTGAAGAGAGTTGTAATATATTATCACTTATACTGTTAAATTGGCCCACTGGGATTTCTGAGCCTCTGCTCCCCACTAGGATTTTTCCAAGCATTCCCAAGTCTTGTTACCTGGGTTTGTTTGCTTAATCCTAAATGCTGAAGTAGCCTGTAACTTTAGCATTTACCGATTTCTAATGCTTCTTTGCCCAAAGCAGACAACTTCAGTTCTGTTACTTTTTTTGAAGACAAGTAGAAGAAAGTTACTCTGTGAAAAAATTCCAAACAGTCCAGCAATCCAAAATGGCTGGCATTATCTCCCATTTCTCCAACCAGGACTTCCTGCCAGCTACATTTTCATTTAATTTGCCTCATTCTTATTCCTCATTGTTCTTTGGTTACATTCTTGTTCTTGAGCAGAAACCTGTTGGACTTAGGGAAGTAGCAAGAACTCTTCATGATCCAGAGTCTTCCCGGACTGCATCTAAGCTAGTTCATTTTTGTGATCGTCTTGTTGCCTTTCTTGGTGTAGTTTTCATCAGCGCAACAAAAGGTAGCATTTGGAGCTGGTGTTGTACTTTGGGGGTTGGAGGAGAATTTGATAGGGGCAGTGTATTCTTTGATTAGTGCCCTAGATGATGATTCTTAATCATTTATCCAACTCCTCATTGGGGAATCCAAGGACTAGAAGTGTACAGGTAGTCCTTGACTTACAGCCATTTGTTTAGCAACCATTCAAAGTTTACAACGGCACTAAAAAAATCGCTTATGACCATTTTTTACAATTAAGACCGTTGCAACGTCCCCACAGAGGAGGTTGGACTGCAAAAGTTCCTGTTATCCAAGCCAAGATGGGCCTGGCCTTTGGAGACATCTGGCCAGACACTGACTCTGTGCTCTAAACACTAAAACAGATCCAGGTGCTTCCAGGTTCTACATAGCATACTATAACATAGCCCATTCTCTTTCCTATCCCGAATCTCCCCACTTCCTTTTTATTTCCTTTCCCAACTGGCATCTCAGTATGCTATGCAGAACTTGGAAGCACCTGGGTCCTTGCCAGATAGTTCAATCAATTGTTATTACGATTCCAGACCAGCAAACTTGCCAGGTCATTTTTTAATAATTCCTTGCAGTTTCCTTTTAAATGTAGAAATCACATTGTCAGGTATGCTTCCTTCAGTATCCAGGAAAGAAAACCCCAAACTCAAGCATTTTGAAGAATTTAGTACTTTTACTGAATATGAAATGATAGCAACCCAGGTAAAGCTGGAAGTGAGCAAAACGCGCGAAATGCATCTACTAAGCTTCTCCCCCCCCCCTCATGTTCATAAATCATCAGCCAATCCAAAGGTCTTCCAAAGGTCAGGTGGCAACACGTCTGGCAGCGTCATTCATCAGGAATGTAGGGCAGTTGGTCAGCCGTCCCCTTTTTAAGATCCACTTTCGTTTCTCATGAAGACACATCCTACAAGGATAAAAAACACCTCCTGCTTCTTCCCCCCCCATGCCCCATAACTAAGCCCCCCCCCCCCCCCCCCGTTTCTTATGGCAGCTGAAGCAGGCAAAGCTGAGGCTGACACACATTTTTCTGTACCTGGGAGCCTCCTGGGCATTAGAAACCATGCCCTTATTTTAGAGTGTTTTGTTTCTGAACCAAGTACAAAGTCTGGTGATCAAATGCCTGTTGAGCAGTGATGATGTTCAGACTGCTTCAAGCCAAGCCTTTTGTGACATTTTTCTATGCATGAGCCATGCTTGAAAAGTGTGTCCTCCTGCCTAGCTCGTGAATCATGGGCTGTAAGTTTTAACGGCACCTTGATTAAATTGACTGGCTCGGTGGGAATACAGAAAGACGGAACGTTTTGAAATGAAAGGTGAAATGCAAGAATTGCTCTGTGGCTGAGCTGGGATGCCTCCCATCTCGGGCTAAATTAATTCTTGAATGGGAACGTTAGGAGTTCATCTTAAGCAAGATAAAAAGATCTTTTGGTTTTCCTTTGAGCTCTGAAGACAGAGTATGAAGCCGGGAAGATGTTCCAATAAATTGTTATCCGGTACTTGGAAATACAGTCTTCATTCTTGAAAGTTAACTATGATTCTCAGTCATTCAGTCCCAAAGGCACTTTTTCAAGAGGTAACTGGACTCTCTTGGTTTTCTTTGAAGACATTTCGTTTCTCATCCAAGAAGCTTCTTCAGCTCAGAACTTGAAAAAGTTCCTTTGAGACATTCTTATAAGTGCTTAATAGATCTAGAACAGGGGTCCCCAACCCCCAGTCCGTGGACCAGCACCTGGCCACAGCATTCCAGAAACTGCCCCACGCAAACAAGGGAAGCCCCATCCATGGGATTCAAGCAGCACACAAAACCACGCCCCCTCCGGTCCATGGAAACACTCTCTCCACGGAACCGGTCCCTGGTGCCCAAAAGGTTGGGGACCGCTGATCTAGAATATATAGGTCTAAAATTGACTCCTTGGAGTAAGAAATACTTTATGTTGCCCCTATGTTGGATTTAGTTAACACCTCTTACTCTTGTTAACAGTTGTAGACATAAGAAGTAGACACTCGTCTGCCAGCAGGTATCACAAGAAAACTACATGTGCATAGGTCACGTGATATTTTATTTTATTTTAGTTGTTTTGTTTTATTATCATTTTTGCTTTGGACTCACAAAAGAATACAGATTATCCTTGACTTACAATCACAATTGAGCCCGAAATTTCCATTGCTAAGAAAGCAAGGCAGTTTGCTAAAAAAAAAAAAAATTGCTCCATTGTATGATCTTTTTGCCACAGTTGTTAAGCAAATCATTGCAGTTATTAAATGTGTCACACAGTCATTAAGCAAATCTGGCTTCCTCATTGACTTTGCTTGTTGGAAGCCATCTGGGAAGGTTGCAGATAGTGATCACATGAACCCGGGACAGAAAACAGGCATAAATACATGCCAGTTGCTAAGCACCCAAATGTTGATCACATGTCCGTGGTGAGGCTGCAATGATCGTAAGTGTGAAAAATGGTTACAAGTCACCTTTTCAGTGCCCTTGTAACTTTGAATGGTTACTAAATGAATGGTTGTAAGTTGAGGACTACCTGTACATATTTGGGACAGAGCATGGTGTTTTTTCCTCATTCTACATTATGGTATAAGATTAGGAATACAACCCAACCATGCTGAGAGCAGTTGTCACCAAGGGAAAGTAGTAATAGTTGAAATCCACTGTATTGTTTTTGCTCACGCTGGGGCTGCATCCACATGTAAATGTAAGCTAGAATTTAGAATTGCATGAGTAAGAAGGAACCCATGCAAAGCTGTTGTCATTTATATATGAGTGAGTAATTGTTGTTTTAAAAAGCTCTGCAGACTTCACAAAAAAATCCAAACAATTTGCTTGCGGATGAGTTTTTTTGTTTAATATAATTCCAGATATGCACACAAGTTTGAACCAGAATCTGCTGTTTTGACAATAAATTTTGGTTTATTCCTTCTTATAGATGTGCTTTGACTCTTGTTGGCAAATTTCTTCTCATTCATATAACTAAATTACTTGCCATTTTGTGCAAACTCATTTATTTTGATAGGTTGGTTTTCAGATGTAATTTTTTTTAAAAAGTTTTTAACTCTGGGATGTTACATTAATAGAAAGTATTAGAGATAACCCTTCCCTTCTTTCAATAATGTAAAGAATGGTATTATTTTAATTAAATGTAAAATATCTCTGATTAACCATTGAGATCTTCTGAATATTATGTTCATATCTAATATGTATTCATGGAAAGTAACAAGAATAGGCCGGTGACATTTTTTTTAAGGTGCAAACACTTCTAGATCAGTGTAAAAATGCTTGTAATTTAAGTGTTAAAGAACAAGCAATTAATAATTTCCCTTCAGTTATTTTTTTTTATTATTATTATTATCAAATTTATAGACCGCCCTTCTCCCGAAAGACTTAGGGCGGTGTACAGCCAAAGTAAAAAACATAGATACAAACATTAAAAACAATTTTAAAAGATATATATAAATTTGGCCCCAAAGTTAAAAAACAGTAACAAAACATATTAAAAACATTTAAAAAGCATTAAGCCAGCCCGGCTTGCTGAAAAAGGAAGGTCTTCAGGGCACTGCGGAAGGCACCAAGGTCTTGAATTATGGACAATTCTTGGTTATTTGTTTATTTAAAGATGGGATGTTGCAACTTACTAGGTAAGGAACTCTAGATCAGGAAATGAACTCCTTGGGAAGGCTAGAACTACTTTTATTGAGATTGGCTATAATTAACAGAATCTTGCAAATCTGAATGTGCTGTATTTCTTCCTTTTCCTTATATACTAGCAAATTAGGTCTGTCTGAGCCATTGATGAATGTTGTTTGGGCATTCTGCACTTAAATAATGATTTAGGCCCTTTGCTAGGCAACAGTACCTGCATATCTCTATTAAAACCATATTTCTCTACATACAGATAATCCTTGATTTACAACCACAGTTGAGTCCAAAATTTATGTTGCTAAAAGTGAGAAATTAGTTAAGTAAGTTTTGCCCCATTTTATGACCTTTCTTGCCACGATTAAGTGAATCACTGCAGTTGTTAGGTTAGTGACATGGTTGTTAAGTGAATCTGGCTTCCCCATTGCCTTTGCTTGTCAGAAGGTCACAAAAGGGAATCACATGACCCTGGGACACTGCAACCGTCATAAATATGAACCAGTTGCCAAGCATCTGAATTTTCATCACATGACAATGGGGATGCTGTAATGGTCATAACTGAGAAAAATGGTCATAAATCACTTTTTTCAGGGCTGTTGTAACTTTGAACAGTTGTGTTGTAAGTCGAGGTACACCTGTATTTAAGAACCAAAATGTTCCATTGAATGGGAAATTATGAACATAGCAAAGCACACTGCCTGTTTCATATACAAAACCTACTGTATTTTTCGGAGTATAAGATGCTCCGGACTATAAGACGCACCTGCCTTTTTTGGTGAGGAAAACA